CCACCTATCCAAGTGTCAAACAGTTCTGAAGGATGTCCAATAAGTGTACATTTCACTAAACCCAATATATGTCACGTGAAAATGTCATGTCATAGCTTACTGGAGAGATGAGTGCTTTTCCCTGTGGTACAGCACCTCTCTGAAGCTGTTCAGGTAAATAGTTTGGGAATCGGGTTGTTTGGCCTCATTTCCAACCCCTGTACCATAAACTTACCTATTTGCTTTGTGCCAGTTCAAAGACTGGGCAGAAATAATAAAAATGACATGACATGTAGCAAATTAATTTCTGCTTCCAAAGATCTACATGTGGACACTGCATCTTTGCCTCAGAAAGTCCCAGAACAAGGTTTCTGTCTTTGACTATGGGATCTTCCTTCTCTCCTGTGATCAGCCCCTGAAAACCTCCAGCCTGAGGAGGGATTTTCTGTTCAGAACTTTACCGGTGCCCATAATGCCATACATAGTATCTATTGAGATAAAAAAATAAATCTTTTCAGTGGCTTCTCTATGGCAATTAATTTTGTTTATTTGGAGAATATGCTGTTTGTTATGGGATGAACTGAGGAAAATAGTATTCATGACTGTTAGTAAGAAGTAACTTCTGTGTACTTGCACTTGCCAGTGCAACTGACTCAAACAATTAAGCCTTTTAGGCCTTCTAGTTTGGAAATGTTTGTATCACAGCATTTCCCAGAGCATAGATACACAGAGAAGGTTTATGGTGAAATACCCACCAAAATGTATCATTAGTGATACACTTTTGATACAATAGATTCAGCCTTCAGTACATTAAACACTTGTTTCAAGTATCTTGATTTATGTTATAATCAGAAAAAAGGAAAAGGACCTTTTTGTCCTGGATTTTTAGGAATTGTACCTATTTTTCTCTTTTTAATGTACCTTCTTAGGATTCAGAGTTCTGAATATCTAAGAGCTAAACTATTCCCCATGTGATACCTAATTTTACTGTATATCATTGTCTGTGAAGGAGCTGTTAGATTACATATAGTGATACAAAATGATTCATCCTTTTAAGAGATCAGAGTTAGAGAAAATAATCATTGTCACAGGAAGGCCAAGTCCGGTGACCCAAGGGGATTGAAGTGCAAGGTTATTTTGCTCCCATAACCCTTATAATCAGACCTAAATTGTACATCATTAATACATTATTCTTAGAAAAGACACACTTCTACAATTTGATATGTGACCAGAAGTATGTATGTTCATTAGGACTAAAAAACAAAACAAAAATTATTAATTTAAGGGCAATACCACTTAAAACTGGTTTCAGTGTCATTTATCAGCTGTGATCTTACTATCTGTTTCTGAGAACTAGCTGTTACACATGTTGAAACTCATTTATAAAAATAAACACAACTCATAAACAGATGCAGGGTCTGGTGTTCATCAGGTGATGGGGGTGTGCCATGCCTACAGTCTACCTGCTTTTGATGTCCTTATTACAGTTAGTGGGTCTCATGTACCACCTTATTTGTACTAAAGCAAGGTATATGCTCAGATTATTTTTTTTTTTATTAAAACACTTTTCAATAACTTACAGCCTTATAAAGTGTGTATTCAGGTCCAGCTTCCATTTTGCATCTGGTTCTCTAAGTTTAGAAAAATGGCCCTGAGGTTATTTGCCATTGCCTTTCTAAATTCTTCCGCATGCATAATGTTGTGGAGCAGGTTTTACAATCTCTGTCAATATACTCCTTCACTTGCAGCTCATCAGTTCAGGGAACTTGTTCTGTCCTGATTCTTTAGTGTAAAGACAAGTAGATTAGGTCTAGAAATGAACAGGAGATGTTTAAAGATATTCGCTGTCTCAGGTTTTAGAACTGGTTTGTTGTTACTGCCTGATTTTTTTCAAAAAGGAAGATACCTTTGGACATAAGGTACTTTATTCCAGACAGAAGATTTTGAGAACAATGTTAACAATTACAAATAAAAGAAGTTCCTTTTCTCCTTTTCTAAAAGTGAATGTATTTTCTTTGTATAAAAGTAACATTTTAGTAGGAATACAGACATTTTACAGACATTGTACCCATACTTTTGTAAATGTCTGCATTTACATGTATGTTCTGTGTTACAGTTTACAACCTCTTTCCAACCTTACATTTTTGCAATTTTGAAAAACATCAGCTTTGTCATGTGCTGTTTTTACCTTCTATGAAATGGCATCCATATTTCAAAGAACCTAGCAGTTCTACCAGTCCTGTTGGGATTGTTTCTCCATCAAAAGGGCATCCTACATTTAAGGCTATGAGGTTTTCCATGGTGGATGTAAAAACCCTTTACACACAGAGCCAGATGGCAGACAGTGACAACAATGGGGTTTTGTTCTTTTCCTTCTGTACAAGGAGAGTTCCTTTGCAAGGAGCATTTGTCATGTGAACAGTGGATCTAAAGCAATGTAGTTACTGACCAAAGTGAGTGTGCAGGCATATCCTAGAAGGGAAAATAATAATTTCTTTCTCAGCAGCCTCCCTAGTGTGTTGTGCCAGCATTGAAATATGTATGGGATCCCAGATGAAGACATCTACTGTCTCTAAACCTCCTCAGTGCAGGATGAAGTGTCCTTTCCATATTGTTCACTGTTGCACCAGTTTTCCTCAGTCTCTCCTTTAAACATTTAATTTGTATATGTCTATCAGGCTCCTTGTAAAAGCTGTCCATATTTTAAAAACTGAATCCTTTTCTCTTTCACCAAAATAATTCAACTGATTGAAAAGAGCAAGCAGTCAAATGAAGGCTTTTAAATGAAATGGTTTCAGTTAAAGCAATCAAATGGAAGATACTGCAGAAGAGCAACCTTTACTCCTTATGATTTTGTACATTTCTACAGGAGATTTCAACTCTGCATGTCAAAAGATGGATGGCCCCCTACCCTTGCCCTGCCAGAGTTACATGTGTTTGGTAGTTTTCAGAGAGGCATTCCTTTACAGAATATATCAAAGGCAGAATGATCTTTTTATATTTACCTGCCTGAGCAGCTGATTGAATACCACTTCTCAATAGATTTTAAAACCACCCTTGTTTCTTCCAAAAGAAAAGAATATCTCTTGCTTGCATGATACTATCAAGTAGGTCTCTTACTGAAATTAAAATTCCTTTTGGATCCTTACAATATTTAACTGTAAATTCATCTGGTCTTGCTGTAATATTTATTTACAGTTTATTCATAACAATGTCCACATCCTCTTTTATAAATATATTCTCTATAATTTTGTAGAGTCAGGATGGATAAGATTAACTTTTATTTGTATATTTTGACACTAACATATATATTTATTTATAAAATTACTTATATATTGATAACAACTGCATTGAAGTATTATAAATCTATATTCAAATTACTTTTTAAAAATTTTTTGGGTTACCTTTGTAGTCCTTCAATATAATTTTTTCTTTTGAAGCTCTAGAATTTTCATTGCTAGTCTGCAAACAGTCTTAACCTCCGTTACCTTTATTTGCCCAGTTTCCGTCACCCTGGATTCTTGAGCAGTTCTCATTGTTCTCCTACCTTTCACTCTTTCCTCTTGCTCCCTGAATGTGGAAGTGCAGCGTAACTTGATGATGAAATAGGATGTTATCCCTTCCTGATGGGATTGCTCCTCATTATTCCTTCCTGATTATTCCTCATTATTCCACTGAATAATGATCTCCATCTGGGAGGGCTGTTAATAGCTACTTCAGGAAACTTCTGGCACATTACTGAATTTGTCAGAAATTGGTTACGAGGTGGGAAGAAGTGCTGAAAGCAAAATTTCACATCTCTCCCATGTTACACACATACTCAACCCTCCCTTCTTTTTATATTCCCAGCTTTTAACTGTACATATAAATGCATCTGTCCTTTTCCTTACAGTTACATTACTTCACTTACATTTTAGTTTCCATCCTACTATTTTTTACCTAAAGAGTTTTCGGTTATAATCAGTTATGCAAGAATTTTAATTTCCCCCTTTAACCTTTCTTTCTGCATGTTTTTTCCTCACAGACAGCAATGAAATCCTGCACAATACTGATCGTCATGGGGTTTGTATTCCAGCTTGCCTTTTCCTTGAGCTTTGGTACCTTCTCTATTCTGGATTCATGGGTTTGTTATTTCACAGACCGATTCTCCCTCTTGGTCAGAATTTGACTCAGCCTGTTTCTTTAGCTGCTTTCCACTAAAATCAATTTCCCAAGGATTTTAATTCATTTCTTTTTTTGTCCATGATGATGTTCTTCGTATGTTAAGATAAATAAAATATAAAACCCCTCTCTTATATTTTTTAAATAGCAATAATCTAGCTTATTTATTTTTCTTAAATTCCTCTAAAGCAGAAACACCCCCATGTCCAAATATGCTTCATTTGTTAAAAACAACACTGTTGTGACATTTCTCTGATGTTTCAGTCAGGTATAGGAGTGATATTAAGATGCTGCGTGCTCCATCTGTGGTGGCTCTAGGAAGGAGTCTGATAATTGAAGGTCTTCCTCTCTATATATAGTTTTGTTTTAATATGTTTTAGACTCTCATATCTTCACACTTTCTAATGTATTTTTTTTCTGTCCCCTGTCTTATGTTTTTCTCTTTTTTCCCCTCCGAACATCCTGACTTGTTTTGAAGATCTATTTCCAGTTGCATCTCTTTATCCACATTTATTGAGAGGGATTAGCAAGGGAAGCTGGGATCACAGGCAGTGATCTTTGCTGGCAAAAACCCTGTGCTGCTGCTCCCAGCCCAGACAGTGGGCAGGACCAAGGGGTCTGGACCAGCAGCCCACAGCCAGGGACACACAGGGCTGCAATGCAGTGGGGCTGCAGCAGAAGTTGGGATGAAGGCAGCTCCCGTGGGACAAGGTTGGCCCTGGCTGTGGCTGCCCCTCCAGCAGCTCCTTTGCAGCTGACCCAGACCCCCACAGCCAAATCCCCATGTCCTTTGATCATTGACCTCACCTACACGTCCCCAGCTCACATGTATTCTTGTGAAAGCTAGGATAATTCCATCACTTTGAGGAGCATTACTCTGTACTTAGGTCAGAATATTTGACAGCAGAACTTGATTTCAAAATACAGTAGCATTTTCATTGTTTTACCATTTTTATTCAGAGAAACCATTCACAGGCCCCATTTTTTTAATTTAACAGTAAGATATATAAAATATACACAGAACTGAAACTTCTTCTTTTTTCATTGAGAGTCTCAAGATGATAGAGAAGAAGGATGTAGTTTTCCTGTCAGTGTATAAATAATTCCTGAAGAAAAGCTATTACCATTGGAACTTGACTCAGTTGGCAAATGCTAATGACAGTCCTGTAATGTAAAATCAATAGAAGTTATTTGAACTAAGCCCATAATTTGAGCAGAGTGGAAATACACTTAATTAACACGCATTTAAATGTTCTAAATAAATATATAATTTCTTTATTTTTGAAACATCATGTTCTGTTCCAGTCATTTTAGTGGGTCTATATTTGGTAGAATTTGGGCTAAGCTCACATAGTGCTACAACTTTCTGAATTTAAGTGGAATCATTGCCAAGTTCTGTATTTCTCCCTGTTCCTTTAGGGAAAAAAAAGGTTCCGATTTACAGTTCTTTAAATTAATCATAAAATGAGTGTGTTATAGACTGGCAGGATGGATTGGGTATATGTGCATAAATACAGAGAGATGATTGCATCTTTTGCTATCCACACATTTTCTCATGGAACTGTCAACTTGTGTGTGCTTTCTGCCAAAGTAATTTTCCAGGATTTGTGTCTTTGACAGAGGAGAGAGAATACTCTTGAGTGCATGAAGCACATATCTCTCTTATACTGGAATATGAAATGAAAGGTGCAGAAAAACAGCACTTTGCAACATTACTCTTCCCATGTGCCTTTTCTTTCAGGCTAAGAGCAATTTGACTCTTATAAAAAATAATTTATTCAGGAAACCATTAGAATGTACAGTCCCCTCTCTGACTGAAGGGCTGTGTCCTGAATTCTAATCTCTTCTGTACTCCCCAGTAGTCCAAAACCCAATTGTGATAGAAGGCAATGCTGATTCTTTGTAAGAACCTAAGCACTGCTGCTACCTGGCTAAGGACTGGAGAGCAAAGCAGGGCTTGCCAGGAGCACACAGTGGGCTCATGCTTGCTTCCACATCTCCACCTACAGCTCACTGATGACTGAGAACAGAAATTTCTTGTCCCACTTGCCAGTCCATTTCAATAAATGTTGTTGCAGTCCTGGCAAAAAGCCTGGGACTACAGCGGCCAAGAGTGCACCAAATGTGTTTTGTAATGATGGACTTGATGAACTTAGAGGTCTTTTTCAACCTAAATGATTCTGTGATTCTATAACTCAAACATTTCTCTTGTTTATATTTGATCATAGTACTCTAGCCACTCAACTGACTGAAGACCTAGGAAAAACAGCTGAGAAAAGGAAACCCAAAAATAGTTTATTGAGATTTTTTTGGTCAGATTATTTATTTGTGTAGTTTAATCTTAATAACTTGAAAGAAAGAGAACAGTTTTAATGCGGAGCTACAATATTTTATATGAACCCCCTCCCACATACTCAGAAGCTACTTTTCATATAAAACCTTTTTATCAATAAGGGTTTTTCTGATATTGTCAATATACTGGAAAAGGCATATATATATATTATTAGATACACAAATACACTAAATCTAAATGATGCACTCAAAGTGGCAAACCATTTTTTCTCTGAATGAGGCATAGTGGAAAAGGATGCAGGAAACTGTAAGAACAATAGGTCTGGCTCCATTTTCCTCTTCTCTTTATATAGAGATTATGAAGGAAGCGAAATGGTTCTGTTTCCTCACATCTGACCTGTGAGAAAAATAGCCTGTGCAGTCAGTTTTAGCTTGGGAACACATACAAGCTCTATTTCCCAGTAATGAAATAAAGGATATGTACTCCTTAGAAAGTGAGTAAACAAAACAATGCCTTCATTTCTTCTGGTATGAGATACTAGTCTCAAGCCTTCTGCTTGCCTCTGTGATGGAAACATTTTGATCTGCAGTAACCAGTTAATCAACATACCAAGTCTTTATTGATGACTATTTGCTAATATGAGAAGTGGTTAATACTGAACCTTTGTGAGTTGTTTGTTAACACTGTTAACTAGGTAACAGTAATTAGTTAACACTGACTTACCTTGCTTGGTCTGTGAAACAACTGATTGTTTGAAGAAAAAAATAAAACTCCAATTTCTGTTTCCTGTTAACACTGTAATTACAGTTATTTCTGGATTTTAGAGCAGAAATAGATACACAAATTCTGGAATCATCAGCCCCCTCCTCAGCCTCATAATTTTTGCCAAATTTGTACATCAGCAGAAGCCAACTTTAATGTCATCTAATATTGTTTTACAAGATTCCATTCAAATCAAAGTGGAAATTAACTCTTTACAATGGAGTAATATGCTGTTTCCAAACACACTACATAGTGATGCTGCACTCCAAGTGGCAAACCCTTGCTTTTTTGAATGATGCATTGTGAAAAAAGGAGGCAGGAAACTGTAAGAACAAGTTGGTGTAAACTTACTCAAGGAAGACTTGGATTCAGAGGAAGTGCATTGGGAAGTTTCTGTAACTGTTCACAGAGAACAGACTTGCCTGTGTGCAAGACAGCTTTTTTTGCTTCTTTCAGTAGACCTAAAGGAAGTGGGATCCATCTGTGTGATTTTTGTGACAGAGAACAAATAATATCAGCTTCAAAATATGACATTACATTATCTTCAGAGGCAAATATTATTCATATACATGTAACACAATCACATAGGATAACTATAAATCAAAGAAAAGGATGGTAATATATTTTTCTTAACTATATTTTTAAAGCTAAGCTTCTCCAACATGTCAGAGATCCTTGGACATAATTTCTTCAAGGAAAAATAAGGAAAGATAAGATGTATCCCAGAAGCTTGGTATACACAATTGCAATTCACTTTGCAGATGAAAAAATCATAAAACTTAGGTGCTAGATGCAGGAGAAAATTGTGCCGTTTGTAATCAAACCATGTGGCATAGTTAAAAGTGAAAATTAAATTGATATTCTCATAGTACTTGCCCAGCAGATATTTGTCTCCTCTCTGAAATCAACACACCACTTAACCTTCTTCACCATGACAGAAATCCTCCTAGGCAATTAGGTCAATATGTGAGACCACTGCCAATGCTCCATGGGAAGCTATGCTAGGAGTCTGATCATTGTTCTCTCTTGCAGTTTCACACAGCATGAAATCAAATGACTTGTGGCTGCAGAGCCAGTGAAATTAATAAAATTTGATGACATGTGAATTTGAACCTCATTTGGATTTCAGTGCTCGCATTGTATCTTGAAGCCAGAAAAGAATTCCTGAAAGGCAGTTTGTATAACAGATCTTACCTTAAAAAATACACTTCTTCATATGCAGGAAGCAATAAGGCGTTTCTGTATGTGACTTAAAAATATAATATAAATTCAGTACAATTACAAATATTATCAGATTCAAATGGTGTGATATGCACCATAAGCACTGTTTTTCAGCTAGAAACCTGGAATGCAGACAAGCAAAATTACAGACAAAACTAATGTTTAAAAATTCTAATGAACACAAATCTTAAATTAGGTAATCATTAACTGTCATTAATCCAGTGATAAAGTTTTCTTCCCTATTTTTAGCCAGCCCTAAACTTCTGTGAACCATGATTGCATGGTCTGCAGGTCTTGACATTTCACCAATTTAAAAAAAAACATACTGTGATGACTTCTGCCATGACACGATTTCATGTGCTAAGTAAATGCATTCTGACAAATGCAAATCCACAGTTCCATTTCAATCAGATTTCCTTCAGGAAAATATTTGATGTACTTCTGTTATGACTCATGATAAATGCCTGAGCTTTAGGAAGGAAATTTATATGAAACCAATACATAAAGATACTACACCTACAACTGTATTTAATACGGATGTGAATAGTAATTCCTTATTAATGTAACTGTCATCTCTGCCACCGTTATTTGACATCTTTTATGCAAAGCCTTTATTTTTGGTTTTCTGAAAAACTCCCCAAAATATCAGTATGTATATGTATATGTGTAGAGGGAAAGGAGAAAAGGAGGTAAGTTTTTTTTCATGGTGCATACCAAACAAGAGGACAGAAGGACTGGATGATTCAGCTGTTCCCATGCTGTCTGGAGATCAGGAGATGTACTGCTGTTTCCTTGCCACACAAGAATTTTTGACACCAGGAATATGTGAGAGTATTTAGTCTTCATGTTGCTCTCTCTCAAATATTCAGCTCCTATAACAAAGAACAATCTAAAACACATTACATTCTCCAAACACTGTTTGATGCTCTGCTCTCTCAAAACATCTCTCATACACATCCTCTTTTACTTCACATCCTTTTGTGCAGAAAAGCATCACCCCCCCGACTAATTTTGATTGTGCCTGTTGAGAAAGGCTTTGGGTTCAATCTTACAGTTTTCAAGTAGCTTCTCTCAGACACATGGTGTGCTCTATAGCTAATGTTGTGGGCCCTGTCTTTTAGCTTGTACTGATACAGCATCTTTCTGTCATTTCATGCAGAGGTTTACTCTGGGCTTAGGGGTAGAGCAAATTATTTCAGTGATTTACTCTGGGATTTTAAATACTCCTTCTCTTTTCTATTCCACTCAGTAAAGGTTTACATGCTAAATTTAGGAAGCAGCAGCATGAAATTGTTCAAGGCACCTAGTGAATAAGAAGACTGTGACATACTGAGGCCATTCCTGAAATAAGTCCTCTTTCCTGGACAGACACCAGTGAGCTTAAATGAAACATTCCATCAACCTCAGTTGAAGCACTCATTCAAGAACCAACACTGCCAGCAGTCACTGTGTTTGTATTTGTAGTCTCTCTTGTACTGAGGCTGGTCTGGCATATTTGCTTTTACATTAAAATAAATGTTTATGTTTTGCTAAGTTACTTTTTCAGCTCTCTGAGAGAGTAAAAAAGAGAAGCTGTTGGGGTTGGTTTTTTTTTCTGTTGTTCTCCTTTGGTTTGGTTTTTTTTGGTCTTTATAGGAAAAGTAAAGCTAAGACCCAGTACAATTAATATTTTTAAATGTGTCTCTACGCACAAATTCATGGAAAATTTTCCAGAGCATCATTATGCTTTTCATTTTAGTTAAATTATTTTCTCCCTTGCTGACTTAAGACAGAGAGAGTGGCCAAGGAAGACAATGATTGGACCAAAAACTCTGAAGATGCTTTGGATATGGAGTATGGTTTTCCTCATTGATTGGCTTGTCTCAAAAAATACAGCTAATCTTCGCACTGCCCCAAATATCCAAACTCTCTTAATCTTATCCCCCTCAGCTTTCTGCAACAGCATTGGCTTGAATTTTAATTTCTCATGGTACCCAAGGACCCCGTTGTGTTCTAGCAAAAGATATCTTACATTTTCTGTGGTGTTGCAAAGTCCACAGGAATAAGGAACATTGTAGATCCTCTACCACTTGAAATCTTTAAATCACATGAAGACCTGGGCTGATGTGGCTTTATGAGTTCATGTTGAGTCACGGTGAGTCATAACCCTACAGCACACCTGCACGATGGGTGCAATACACCCATGGTTAGAAGTCACTCAGTGCAGGTCAATGGCACCTGATGGGGCTGGGCTAAGACAAGACACATCCATGCACCCCTGTTTGAATCACAGCACCACAGTTTCCATCCAGCTTCAGAAACAGTAAGGAGAATCTGACACTTTGAATAGGTGGAAGTTACTGGTGCTAAAGCAAGGGGATGGGACACAGGCACATGCAGCAGGAATTGATGTCGCTGCTAAATCAACCTGTCAAACAGAAATGTGTTGTAAGCCAAAAGTAAGACATGGATTATGTAAGAAGGCTGTTAAGATGATCTCATCTAACAGTGAAATCTGCAAATCATGGTGTCAGTTCTATCGGTTTTTAGCTGGTGAGGATCTCAACAGAACACTCTGTGTATGCACACGTGATGCATATGCCTGCCTACGCATTAGCACATATAATACAACAAAAATGAAAAAGAACATTATTATACAAAACATGAACAGCATTGGTTATCAGCATATACTAGTAAAGTGAAAATGTCTAGTTAATATATGCTGGAAAACAATATAAACAATATAAATTTATATAAATATAAATTACCTAGCAAATGACCTTGTAACTTTCCCCTAAATTTTTCAGGCTTGGACCTAATGGTGTTACACACCTGTCTCCGGAGAAACCTGTAACAACGAATATGTTTACCACATGTTTGCTGTAAACATTAAGTACTTTTACCAAACTAATTCCTCATGGGGTGAAAAGATATTCAGATTCCATTCAGAATCAATGAACAACTGAAAGGTAGGAGGAGACAAAGAGGTAAAGCTGATAGTCAATTGATAGTCATGACCAAGAGAGGTTACTAATTACTCTGTAGAGCGCTCTTAGTACCATTTATATTTGGACCTCCAGTGCTGTTCAAAGCTGTTATTGAAGACATGGGAAAATAGGTGATAAAGTTTGTGTGACCTATTTTAAATTACACAGTAAAATACCTGGTGGTACTGAAAAATGCAAAGCAGTGTACTGGCAGGAGAGTAATCCTAATTATCTGTAACAGAACAATTAATTACTACCACTTTGGAAATAGTTTTTGAAACCATTGTGCATAGCACTTTGAACTTTTCAAAAAGTCAATTAAGATGTTGGGAATTTTCATTTTTGGCAGTGAGAACAAAACAGGAAACATCCTTATGACTTTTGTATATACTATACCCACATGCTGAATAATACTGACAGTTCTGCTACTTCAATCCCAGAAACTAACACAGAATTGTTTGAAAGATTATAAAGGGAAACAAGAAGGGTCAGCAACATGGAGACACATTCATCTTATATGAGATTAAATTAGGGAATGTGATGGAGAAAGGAGAAGATTGAATAATTACTTGCTCCAGTAAGTGCCAGAAGCCAGGAGAAAACCCAATAGTTTTCATTGATTGCACTGTTTTCCAAATGCCCGCTCTTGGTCCCTGCTGGAGGCAAAATGTCCAGTTAAATTGATGGCTTGAGCAGATGCAGTATGTTTACTGTGTTGCTGTCAAGCGAAGTTTTTTACATCGTGCATAATTCCTCTGTTTGGCTGCCTTCATGGGCATCTGGGGGGACAGTAACAATAAAGTGAGGTGCCAAGGAAGGTCAAATCAGAATAGTCTGTTTGACTATTGAGTTTTAGGGAGCACTCTTATTCAGCTAAAATGCATAATGAATTATGAGTCTGATGATGACCTTCACCAGTTATATGAAATATGTATGAGCACTATTTCCATGTCCTGTGAGCTTGTAAAGGACAATTTTGCACTTCTATCATTTTCAAAACAGCATCAATTTGTGGAAACAGAATGATGGGAAATCACCATCTCCATAATTATTATGTGTCCTGCTCACTGCTGCTGCCCCTGTAAGGACATAATCAGTCATTCAGTTCTGATGCTGCCCAGCTAATATTTGTGCTTTGGCAGTATCTGTTACCTTAATTGCAATGGTAACAGATGGTTTTGATGTCTTATTAACCTATTTTAACATTTTATGACTAGGAAGGGCCATGAAAGAAATAGTAACAAAAGTGTTTCAATAATCTCCTGATGCCTGGAGACAAATACTTGGGTATAACACTTCCTTTTGAAAAGACAGAATAAAAAAAACATATTAGGCTTACTCAAAGAAAAAAAAAAATGTGTTAAAAGAAAATAAGACGAGGAATTACAGAGTTTTGTTCATCTTTCTCAGATATGTAATTGATGCTTCTTATAAATTAGGGTCTATGAATCAAAACTGAAAAGAATTTTAGAAAAGATTTCATCATCAGCATAATAATAATACCTTTCATCTGAAAAGTCACAAACTATTACTTGATCAAACATAAATTATCCACAATAACAATCACATTATGCAAAGGCCTACACTATTGGTGCAAATGGAATGAGGTTTTTCGATGATTAAGAAATCTAGATTATGTGCAAGTGAAAGCATGTTGTTAACAATAAAACCAGATGATAAGCACCTTCATTTTATACTGCTAAATAACTGGGAATCTTTGATGTGTTGCTAACATACTAACTAGATTCACTTTTAAAAGATTTACCTCAGATCTACCTAAAAAAATACTTTTATTTTTTACTGTAGTATTTAGCATTTTGTCAGCCAGTGCAACAAAGACCTTAGAAAAGCAGTATGCACATATGGTATCATATGCACAGAGCATCAGTGCTCTTCAGATACTATATTCTCCTGGGAATTTTCACTGTCTTTTGATTCAATTCAGATAGATATAAATTTCATTTATTTCATTAGCAACTTAGGAATGTAGCCTTTTAAATCTCATTTTCCTAACTGTCAAGGTTTGTTTTTTGCAAAAAGCACTCCTTTCTGATGTAAAATACATCTAATCTGTTCTGGAAAATATTTTGATAGCATATCAAAACCAGAAAGCAGCTATGTTTTGGGTTTTTTTTTTAACTACCGAAGATTCTGTAACTGATCAATAAATAGTGATTATTCAATGGAAAAGTTAATCTTTTCATGGAAACACCAACAAAAAAAATCCCTTGGAAAAGTAATGGGCATGGACTATAATCCCTGGAGTAATAAAAATGTGATCTTCTTGGCATCATTTCTATGGTACAAACCAATTTATCTACCTGCAGGTTTGAGCCCTAGAAGAGCTTGATGCAGTGGTTTGAGGTGCCATCGCCTATTTATTCCTCCTCACACCTGGCACAGGAGAGTGTAATAAGGGACCAGCCCCAACTGGCACAGCTCACAGTCTGAAAAACAATCTCAGCATCACCTTCAGAAACTAGTGCATGAAAACTGTGAATTGTAAGGGCTGGAAATAGTTGGGTTTTTTTTATCAACTCTGCTTTAAGGGGCAGTCATGCCTGATGAGGAGGTGGGAGAGACAGCCGGGAACGGCAATGCCTTCAGCTGTGGCAGTGAGAATTTTTGGGAGAGCCTTGGTGTGAGCCTTGACTCTGACTGGGAGGTTGGCGGCAGCTTCATTGCTTTGTAGGAGTTGATGCAGCTCTCAGCTTAAATGCCTGAGTCCTTGAGAGAGGCCGTAATCGTTTTTGTGAGGTGAACAGGAAGAAAGAGAGACAATAGTAGTGAATGCCATGATACAAAACAGAAAAAAATCAAATTGCGTTCTTTCTGCAGCGCCGGGTGCGAGGATATGGGTGCTGAATGGACACACAGGTACACTGCAATACAACTTTATCGAGGGTCAATTGTATTAACCTAGCTCGTTCGTTTTCTTTGGAAGGAGAACTGTTTTTCTAGGAGAACACAAATGTGGGGGGCCTAAGGAATGAGGCATGATGTCGCTCCGGGAAGCCAGCAGAGATGGGGCACATGTGACGAAGATGGGACGGTGACGAAGAAGCAACACGAATTTATAGAAATCTGACCCACTGGAAGAGGGGGAGAGCTGCTGAAGGGCTGGCCTTGGAAGGCGTTTTACCTCTCAAACTCACTAGCGCCCGTGCGGCGGAAAGAATTTAACCCTGGAGAGAGCAGCCAACAGGGCAGGGCAGGGCAGCTTCACTCACTCCACAGCCCCCCTCACGGGCAGCGCCAAGATGGCCGCAGCGCCGCCCCGGGGCGGCGGGAGCTCAGCGCGGGGGACGGTG